GGGGGGGGGGGGGGGCTAAGAGTCATTGAACAATGAACATGTATGAGTCCCTTATGCCCAGATGTTTTATATTTCAACTAATTTATCTTCCCCAGGGAACATACATAGAATGCTATTTTTTCCTTCTTATGCTATAAAAATATTTTTAGGTTTTCCATAAAATGTTCAACTTTCATTTTTACAGCTTATCGACCGAAAATTGGAAAAAATCTGGATACTCATTATTTTTGAAATTTAAACAGAAAAATTCGCTAAATATGATTTACACAGAAAAATAAAAGCTTTAAGTGTTACGGTGAAAAAAATATTTTTTTTTACAGTTAGCTCGATAACTTAAACAAAATGTAATTAAAACATAAAAAGATCAAAATAAAATGGTTTTTGGCGCTGAAATAGCAAAAGAAAACAATCTAAAAAAATGAAAACATTGTTTAGAGTTCAGGAGGATAAAAAGACTAAATATATTTAATATTATTCTGTATTTTATTCATTGAACCAGATGTTTTCAAAAATCATAAATTTCGAGGATTTTCCATTTTTTATATTTGTAGATTCAATATCTGAGTTGTTTTTAGAAAATGTTCTGAATTTTTATTTAGTTTGTTAATCCACCACTGTAGACTTTCGAAACTTATTTTAATCTGTTTAAATGAATTAAATAATTCTCTTTACATTACTCTTTTTAGTAGGTTAAGCTAATAAAACTTTCTTAAACCATTTTAATCATTTAAATTTAGATAAATCCGCCTGTTTAAAAGTTCTCAGCTGTGTTTAAATAATTGTAAAAATAATAAAATAACATTTTATATTACAAAATACAATTTACTTGTTTTTTATGAAAATATTTTGAAAATTTAGTTTTGGATTTTTTTTCGAGGAAAACACTTAAAATATTCAATTTTAGGCTCATTCAAAATAAGTCCAAGATTGTAAATAAAATTTTAAATATGTACTTTTTCATTTTTGCAAATATATAAATAAATCTTTTTAATTCTTGAATTTTATAGCTTCATGTGTTGTGATGAGTCTTGAAGAACATTTACCCAACGGAGATAAAACCGTCCTAGCTGTTCAGGTATTAACCCGGAGATAAAACCGTCCTAGCTGTTCAGATATTAAAACCCAGAGATAAAACCGTCCTAGCTGTTCAGGTATTAATCCTGAGATAAAAAGTCCTAGCTGTTCAGGTATTAACCCGCAGATAAAATCGTCCTAGCTGTTCAGGTATTAACCCGCAGATAAAATCGTCCTAGCTGTTATAAAATCTTCCTAGCTGTTCAGGTATTAATCCTGAGATAAAAAGGTCCTAGCTGTTAAGGTATTAACCCGGAGCTAAAATCGTCACGCTGTTCAGGTATTAACCCGGAGATAAAACCGTCCTAGTTGTTCAGGTATTAATCCTGAGATAAAATGTCCTAGCTGTTCAGGTATTAAAACCCGGAGATAAAATCGTCCTAGCTGTTAAGGTATTAACCCGGAGCTAAAATCGTCACGCTGTTCAGGTATTAATCATGAGATAAACCCGTCCTAGCTGTTCAGGTATTAATCCTAAGATAAAACCGTCCTAGCTGTTCAGGTATTAACCCGGAGCTAAAATCGTCACGCTGTTCAGGTATTAATTCTGAGATAAAACCGTCCTAGTTGTTCAGGTATTGCCCCGGAGATAAAATCGTCCTAGGTTTTCAGGTATTTACCCGGAGATAAAACCGTCCTAGCGGTTCAGGTATTGAACCGGAGATAAAATTGTCCTAGGTGGTCAGGTTTCATCCCGGAGATAAAACCGCCCTTGTTGTAAAGGTATTAATTCTGAGATAACACCGTTCTAGCCATTTTACCACAACAAGGGGGAAATAAAGGAGGAGGAATAAAAACCTTGAAAAAGGTTAAAGAGAATGTCAATGTATTTTCAAGCCCAGAGACCCAAAGGTTTTAAGCTCTTACGAAAAATAACTTCTTGCAATCTCAAGCTAAAATAATTGCGTCATGGTTCTAAAATGTCCCTTTATGCATATTAAGTTTTAACTTAATTTCTTTTCAGTTGGAAGCGACTGAATCCTATTTCCTTGGAATATTCTGCGTTGAATCTTGTTTGAAAATCCTGGCTCTTGGGTTCGTTCTTCATCCTGGATCCTACCTTAGAAATATCTGGAACATTATGGACTTTATCGTAGTTATGACAGGGTAGGTTAATATCTATATATATATAGTTATGACAGGGTAGGTTAATGTCTATATATATAGTTATGACAGGGTAGGTTAATATCTATATATATAGTTATGACAGGGTAGGTTAATGTCTATATATATAGTTATGACAGGGTAGGTTAATTTCTATATATATAGTTATGACAGGGTAGGTTGAGATCAGTGTCATGAAATGTAGGACCTTAATTTTAGCCAAAACAGAAAACAAAATTTTAAAGTTTTAACTACCACTCCATCTAAACTATAAAGTGCATGAATAGTTAATATTGATCTTGTCTATATTGCAGGGATATTATAGACTTTATTTATGACATTGATAGTAAAATTGGGGAAACAAATAGTTTATAAATCAATATCTTGTACAAACATATGTTTATAAAACAGTATCTAACACATTTTAACCGGACGTTTTTTCTTTTATCTTTTTTCCTTACTCGGATTAGATATGAAATTTCGTAAGAACCTTTATATATGATTATTGCCATCAACGATTCACAACGAACTATTTTTCTGAGTAAAAATGGCTAAGATATTATTTTTTTCTCACTCAAATGTGACAAATTTCGGTCATTTTACTGCCTGAATTACAAATAGTTGCTATACTCAAATCTCAATCGGAATTATCATAAATCTACTAAATCTTTTACCCGTTCTCCGCCCTACCGTAGAACCTGAAAAATCCTGAATTTGTATTCTCTTCTAGGTCTAGTTTAAACTATCTCAGATTATTCAACCCTAATCAAAACCTTCCATTCAAATTCATCTAAATCCACACTATTTAAATCAAAAGTTCTTTGATAGATTTGTCAGTTTATACAACGTTTTATCAGTTCTTATAACGTTTTATCAGTTTATACAACGTGTTTTTCAGTTTATACAACGTTTTATCAGTTCTTATAACGTTTTATCAGTTTATACAACGTGTTTTTCAGTTTATACAACGTTTTATCAGTTCTTATAACGTTTTATCAGTTTATACAACGTGTTTTTCAGTTTATACAACGTTTTATCAGTTCTTATAACGTTTTATCAGTTTATACAACGTGTTTTTCAGTTTATACAACGTTTTATCAGTTCTTATAACATTTTAACAATAATTTTAGATTTTCTATATAATGATATTCCAGGGCCCAACAGGTTATATAGCATAAATATGTGAAGTACACCTGCAGTATGGAAACAGTACAACAAAATGGCCGTTTTACACTTTTTTCCATTAAATTCCTCTCTATATATTCTATTCTCTATGGTTTTATCAGTTCTTATAACAATTCATCGTTGTACCAGTTTAAGCAATGTGTTATCCGTTTATATATAAAGTTTTATCAGTTTATAACACGTTTCATCAGTTCTTAAAACTTGTAATCGGTTCTTATACGCTTTTATCATTTCTAATAACGTTTTATCAATTCTCATACGCTTTTATCAATTCTTATACAGTTTCATCACTTCTCATACCGATTAACCAGTTTTTATAACGGTTTATCATTTCTTATAACGTTTTATCGGTTCTTATAACGTTTAATCAGTTCTTATACCGTTTTATCAGTTCTTATCTCGTTTCATCACTTTTTCAACCCATTTATTAGTTTTCATAACAGTTTAAATTCTTATAACGTTTATCAGTTCTTATACGTGTTATCAGTTCTTATAACGTTTTATCAGTTCTTATAATGTTTTCTCAGTTCTTAAAACGTGTTGTCAGTCTTAAAACATTTTATCAGTGTTCATAACGTTTTATCAGTTATTGTACCGTTTTATCAGTTCTTATACCGTTGTATCAGTTATTATACCGATTTATCAGTTTTTATAACGGTTAACGGTTTATCAGTTCTTATAATGTTTTGTCGGTTTTTATACCGTTTTATCAGTCCTATTATTTGCATAACCAGCTAGATCTATTCTTTGAATTATCAGTTTTATTCTAGAATTATCAGTTATTCTCTTTGAGTAATCAGTGTTATCTAAGTTTATGATTATTATTGTTTGAAACATCAGTTTTTAACAATATTTGAATATGTTTAGATTCATAACGCTTCTGACCCCTGATACAGAGGGATCCAAGAACGAGGAGCAACTTCCAGTGGATTTAAGAACCCTGAGAGCAATCCGTGTTTTACGACCACTCAAACTTGTTTCTGGTGTTCCAAGTACGTAAATGAACTGATTACTTGCCTTAGACTCTTATTTTATAATCTGTTTTGTAATCAAACAGTGCAGTGTAAATCTTTGATATTTCAAACTTTGACATTTCAAATATCTAAGGTCTCCGACTTCCGGTTGCAAAGAGATAGGGAATAGAAAATTTGAATTTGAAAAGAATAATTAGTCTCTTAATTAGTCCCTTAATTAGTCCCTTAATTAGTCCTTTAATTAGTCCCTTAATTAGTCCCTTAATTAGTCCCTTAATTAGTCCCTTAAAATAATTGTTTACAGAATTAATTACAATTTATCATTACTGCAGTACTTTCGGCCTCTCATAAAACATTTTATGTCGGGTTCTACCAATGAAATATATAATTTCTAATTTCTTTTTGGTTCTCAATAAAATTTTAATGTACGCCTCCCCCCTGCCCCCCCCATATATAACATATAGATTATCAAACATAATTTACTATTTTTCTTGTTTCAGGTCTCCAAGTTGTTCTAAAATCTATCATCAAAGCCCTGGCCCCACTCATGCAGATCGGACTCCTTGTCATGTTTGCAATCGTCATTTTTGCAATAATTGGTTTGGAGTTCTACTCTGGGGCTCTTCATAAATCCTGCTACTCCCTCTCAGATCTAGGTAGGAGTCATATCTAGGAATACTCCCTCTCAGATCTAGGTAGGATTCATATGTAGGAATACTCCCTCTCAGATCTAGGTAGGATTTATATCTAGGAGTACTCCCCCTCAGATCTAAGTAGGATTTATATCAAGGAATACTCTCTCTCAGATCTAGGTAGGATTCAAATTTTTGGGAATACTCTCTTTCAGATCGATTATTTCTTTAATCCCTAAAAATAATTCCTCTAATATGACTCAGATCTAGGTAGGATTCAAATTTTTGGGAATACTCTCTTTCAGATCGATTATTTCTTTAATCCCTAAAAATAATTCCTCTAATATGAAATTATTTCTCTTATTCCTTGAAATAATTCCACAAAAGTAAAATTATTTATATAATCCCCTGAAATAATTCCACTAAAATAAGATTATATCTATACCTACTTGAAAGTATTCTAAAACTGAATTATTTCTCTAACACAGCGAAATAATTCCACAAAAATAAAATTATTTCTCTTATTCCATGAAATAATTCCACTAAAATAAAATTTATTTAATATTTTATTCTTCAATGTTGGATTCTGCTTGCTGTAAAGGATTTAATATTTCACAATGTACATAATATAGTGCACAATTCTTATCTCGGGATTAATTCATTTAAAGAAATGAAAAAAACAAATTCAATGCAAACATCTTTACAATCTTTACAATCTTTTTCAGCCTTTGCAATCAATTTTTACAAAAAACGAAATTTTTGAAAAAATCCCTTGAAACTTTTTTCTCAAAAATTATTCAACAAAACTTTCGTGGCATGGGGGGGAATAGGAGGAATATGGGGGGGAATAGGAGGAATGTTTTTTACGGGGGCCTAGAAAATTCTCGCTTTTGCCAGTTGCCTTCTGGTGACATGGAAACGCCTCAACACGGAAACGACTCAACACGGAAACGGATCAAAAATACGCGGAAACCCCTCAAAAACCGGTTTTTTTGAGGCATTTCCGCGATTTCTTCAAATTTTTCGGAAATCCCTCTAAATTCAAATTTTGAGGAGTTTCCTTTTTTTTTGATCGATTTCCCAGAATTGTATATCCGTTTCCCCTTAATTTTATTCAAATATTTTAGAGGGATTTCCCAATATTTTTGAGGGGATTCACAATATTTTTGGTCCGTTTCCTCATTTTTTTTTATCCGTTTCCGCTTTTTTCCAAAACTTTAAAATTGATCTGTTTCCTCATATTTTGGATCGGTTTCCTCAAATTTTTGATCCGTTTCCGCTTTTTTTGATCCGTTTCCGCTTTTTTCAAAAACTTTAAAAATCTCGTTTTGTTGATCGGTTTCCTCAAATTTTAGGTCCGTTTCCTCAAATTTTTGATCCGTTTCCGCTTGTTTTGATCAGTTTCCGCTTTTTTCAAAAACTTTAAAAATCTCANATTACAATGGAGGGATGGACTTCTATACTCTACTGGGTAAGATATACTGGGGTATAGATGTTGTAATATCAACCTTCCCAATTTTCAAGATTTTTTTAGGGGGGGTGGGATATTGGCATCATCTGGCAATTTTTTTTATTTTTTTTGATATTTACCCACGGATTGACTTTCCTTTCTCATAAGTCAATGTTTCTCTACGAAATGTTTCCAACCCCATTTATTAAATATACTGTAAAATTGATCCTAAAGAGAAAGTGAAAGTATGGGTTTAGAAACGTGGTCTGGAATATTTATTGTGAATTATAAGTCCAACTGCTCCAAAAGTCATAGATTTTATGAAACTGGTAAATTCCAAAGATAGATAGATAGATATATAGATAGAAAAATAGATAGATAGAAAGATAGATAGATAGATAGATAGATAGATAGATAGATAGATAGATAGATAGATAGATAGATAGATAGATAGATAGATAGATAGANAACCTTTGCTTTCGAACCCTTTTCATTTTTCATCTTGTATCTTGAATAATTCTAAAAGGATACAAATTTAATTATATTTTATTACGAAAACATTAATCTTTATTATTCCTTGGGTTTAGGTTAGGTTAGGTTAGGATAGATAGATAGATACTCACAAAGGTTACTAGCTTGTAAAAAGACGACATTCTCTAGATTTAACAGATATTTGTTTAGAGGAGATAGTTACTGAGGGCTCCAAGATGGTTCCCTGCTATGAGGGGAGTAGTGAGCTAGCTCCGAGTGGAGCGTATACCTGTGATCTGAGTATATCTCAGTGCCTGGAGAAGTGGGAGGGACCTAACAATGGAATCACGTCCTTTGATAATATCGCCTTTGCTATGCTAACAGTTTTCCAGTGTATTACAATGGAGGGATGGACTTCTATACTCTACTGGGTAAGATATACTGGGGTATAGATGTTGTAATATCAACCTTCCCAATTTTCAAGATTTTTTTTAGGGGGGTGGGAGATTGGCACCATCTGGCAAGTTATTTTTTTTTTTTTAGA